TCACCGGCTGACTGGCGAATCACCAATTAAATTAGTAAAAAAAATAAAAACCAAAAAAATTAAGAACTTATCATTATAATTCTATATGTCTTAATAAAAAAAAAATAAATTTTTATATTGTAAATATATATAATCTAAAAAATATATATAAAGACAGTTTAGGGTAGTATTATTTATCATCTGATTTTTTTTTATCAGAGGTTTACTTCTCCCCTCTTACTATATATCTTGATCAGGTCTTTATATATAATTTTAAATTTTTTATCCTCCTCTCTTCTAAAAAATCACCTGATTTTTGTTATGTTCTTTATATTACTAACTTCTCTTGTATAAGGATTTTGTATTAAATACTTTAATTAATTGATTCTAATAAATTGTATCACCTTTTGTAAATTAATTGTTATTGTGATTATTATTGTAAAAAAAATGTCTGATAGAAATAAATCTACCTTGTCCAAATCTAAATTACAAAAAATAGACCAAAGCATGTTCACAAACCTAGTTCAACTGATTTAATAAACAATATTGTTGAACACATTGAAATATCTTTATCTAATAATAATTCTGAATCTAAATTGCAGGACAATTCAGATCCTGAATTACAAGAACATAAACATACATCACATGTTTAAGAATTTGAATCCAAATTGCAAGAAATAACTAATTCAGAATCGTTGGAAAAACTTGAATCTGAATTGGGATTGCTAGAAGAATTCGAATTACAAGAAATAGATAGGAATGAATATATTAAAATTTACACTCACCTTGAGCTAAAAACATATAAAGAATGAATTAAAAATATTCTTCCCAATATTGCAAAAGCTAATTATATTTATAAAGATACAGTACCCAACAAAAGTTTTCCCGTGCCTATATCTCCTCATAGAGAAGTGCTACAGCCTTGAAACTTTTACAAAAATTAGTAATTACATAGTTTAGATCATGTACATTTTTTGAAAATTTTTTAATTACTAGAAAAAAGTTTGCATGAGAGCTAAAGTTGGGATATTTTTTTTAAAAAAATAAAAAAATTAATTGAATTTAAAAAAAAATTAATATATCATTAAGGCTTAAAGTTAAAAATTTAAAAAAATTATTATACTAAAAACTGGAAACCAGTATAAGTCTGGAGCTCAATTTAATATTTTAACTTTTAAAAAGTTTTGTTATATTTGTAAATCAAATTTTTAGAAACATTATATTCAGAAAATACCAAAAATGTATTTTTAATATTTCACTATAAATATATTAAAAATATGATTTTAATTATGAAAGTGTATAAAATATAAGTCTGTTATTTGGTTTTAAACAATAAACATAAAAAAAATTAAAGGTTTAAAATTTTTATACACTTGTATAGTTACTATAGAAAGACTTTTATATGATTGGCTATTTAAATCAATTTAATTTTACATTATTTATACAGTTTAAATACTTTTTAAAAAAAATAAAACTATAAAGAATAAATAAAAAAAAAGTATATAAAAAGTTTTATTGGGGTTATAGGACTCCAGTATTAAAAATAATCAAAATTATTTCTGGGTTTAGAGAAGTTAGCATAGTAATAATCTAATTTTATCTAACTTTAAGAAATTGCTATTATGCTAATTTTTCTAAAACCAGAAATGATTTTAATTATTTTTTTTGTTTATTTTTTGTAG